GAGTGTGTCATTCTTCCTGTTGCGCACACATTTCCGTGTGCACACGGGATTTTGTTTAAAGCTGGCACTATGCAGCACGTTTGGTGCGGCTCAGTGTTTACCATCCGTTTAGTTCGCAGCCGCCGCTCAGCAGCCAGGCAGTCACGGTGAGCCACGCCTACGGTCCATGTGCCTCGTCCTCCAATCCGCTCGCCCCTCCGCGCACCACGTGCTCGTCRCTTTGCATAAAATGTGTATCAGTAGGGCAGCGCTCTCTGCTGCACATGCAGAGCGCACATGTAGCGTGGCTTTACTGAACACACGGCTCGCTCGAATAAGCGCATCAAACTCCCCGCAGCTCCACGGCCCCCACCAATGAAAAGGCACAGAAGCGAGAAGGGGGGAGGGGGGGGGGGAGAGAAAGAGCGAGAGAGATAAAAAAGAAAGAGTGAGCTAAATCCCTTCACACACGCGCGCGCGCGCAATCCCACACAAGCGCAACAAGAAGTTGGAGCGAGCGGAAAGGCGGTCACATTTCCTATGCTCACCTGCAAACGTGATTGATGTGGGTGTTTGTATCAGTGGGTGTGTATGTCACGCCTGACACTCTCACACTGACTCTTCAGGGATGCGCTGACTTCACTTCTTTGGATTTCATGACAAACGTTTAGTCTCCCTCGGTGCATCCACACGCGCGCTTCAACCACTAACCAGTACGCAAGGAGGTGGTGGTGGGGAAAGCATCCAGGTATCTTCGAGCAGACAAGTCTGAGTAATTCACCTCTGTTAAGGGAGGGAAGTGAAGTGACTTTATTTTTTTTATACTTCACTGAGAGAGAAAGAAAGAGAAAGCGAGAGAAACTGCGCGCACTTTGTTCACCGCAGCTCTCCAGGTTTGCGCTATATGGAGCAGGTGTTTTACGCGGAACCAGTTTGTCTTCAGAAGGAGACTTTTGGTCCAACTTAGAGTGGCATTCCCAAACATCCGGTGTCAAGTTTCTTTCAAGTCATCAACACCAACCAGACAGAGATGGATAACAGTCCTGGTGGCGGTAAGAACAACTTTAAACACTTTTCCTGAGCAAATGTTTATCAGCTTTATCATGTTCTGTTAAAAATCGGTCAGCCAGAGCAACTGGACACTGTCTTATTTATTTAGTAAATGTGCGAAATGTAAAAAAAAATACAGTGAAATCATTTTGGACATATATAATTGCTTGGCAACTTTGACAGTTTAAAATGGTGCAAAAAGAAAAGCGCACAAAAATGTTTTCTGTTTGTGAACTTTTCATTTCATCAGCTGAGGTTGTTGGTCCGGTCAGTCAAAGGTGAACTTAGTAATAATAATAA